ATGGTTTGAAAAATGGAAAAAATGGTAGTTTTGAAAACCAAGCAATAACTACCAAAAAATCATATCATGTGTCTGAAAATACAAACAAACAAACAAAGTAAAACCATGGAATTACCATACCATACATTAATAAACCATCATCCAAACACACTCATAGGAACTAACATGGTTTAATTTTCTTTATTAACCCAGCTAAGATCCCTCAAAAGGCAGAAAAACTCAGATGAGAAGATCCAGTTAATACCTGACCAGCATTGCGAGAATCAGGATCTATATTAAGGCACTGCTCATAAGCATCAATAGCAAGTGATATATTGCCAGCATCTCTGTAAAGAACCCCTACAGATAAGGACATCAACAATAACATTGTGAGGGAGGATCTGAGAAAAACAAAATGCAATTGTTTAACATATTTAAAGAAACAACCATGTAAACAAACTAGTATACTACTCCAAAGTCGATAATGGACCACAAAAACCATTGGATAACCACTTTTCCAACTTCATGCAAACAACATCCTGCATAAATCATGTAGTCTGAAGACGATATGAGCACTTTCATTTAAAATTTAAAAATCAAGTCAAAGCCCAACAGTTCAAACATTTTTTTTGAAATAAAAAGCATAAGAGTATACCCAACAGTTCAAACATTGTAACATGAACTATTCAATATCTTCCAACATGATTCTTAGTAACTTGCCTCACTAAGTATTTGGCATTGTCTAAATGATTAAAGATACTATGTTCTTCCACAGCAACTTCACAAGTATTGGAGAAACACTTCACAAGGCTGCAAACTATTACACGCTAGAGACCAACCAGACATGCTGAGACACAGATCCGCCCATCTAATTATACAGAACCTGATGCAACAATGCACCAAATAGCGAAATTTCTTCATTAGGGATACTTCTTTATCAACTAATACATAGTAAGCATGCATGTAGAGCAAACTTTACACATTAATAACCATATTGCAGATCATTGAGAGAGCCATTGCTACAACCACATGCCATGTGTGACATCATCCAAGACTCAAGAGGTAATCAAATTTAAGCAACTTAGGACTCTTAAGCGCCAAAGAGTAGTAACATAACAATAAACATCTAAGACAGTGTTTACATAAAACAAAGGCAAAAAGAGAATAAGTTACTTCTATGAGTGATAAACAACGGAAGGGGGAGAGAAAGCAGTAACCTAAGTTATTATAAGCCTCTGCATATGTAGGATTTGCAATGATAGCTTTCTCAATCATACTAGCAGCAGCATCCATTTTTCCCTGTCAATTTTAAGAGGAAATTTGTTAACTACTTTGGAAAAAGAATCATAAACAGTTCTGGAAGTCACTCCACGACAAACCTGGACTGTGTAGACAACACCAAGGTTATTCAATGACTGTGAGAAGTTTGGTTTGATTGACAAAGCCATCTACAAAGAAAATGGCAGTAATAATGTTAAATAGTACACGATGAAGTAGATATCTAGCACAAACTTCAGTAAACAAAAAATTTGCCTGATAACATTCCACAGCCTTATCAAGGTTGTCTCGATCTTTATATATTACTCCTAAATTGTTGCATGCCTCAGCACAGTGGGGATTGAAGTGGAAAGCAAGTTCATAGAATACAATTGCCTGCACATGTAGAAATTGATTATTGAACTCCCAACTTCTGCAAGAAATATTTCGAAAAAGCACATCCCTTAACAGAGATCTATGCAGTGATAGAAAAGGCTCCAAACAGAGTCACCCTTTATAGATACAAGCAGAGAAAAAAAATTAGCACACGCATGTGCATATGCACACACATCTGATAAATATATAGTACCATGTCAAACTTCAGCATTTCACCATAAGCAACCCCAAGATTATACATGGCATCAGCGTAATGCCAATTGTAATACAATGCTTTCTTGTAATATGCCACACCTTGAGTTATATCTCCCTCCAGTTTAACCTGAAAAGCACGTGTCACAAAACTACATCAAGCACAAAAACATCAGCAATATAAATGAAAGCCAAATTGCTGACGTGTCTATTGACAGGATGAGCAGTTGCTTATGATAAAAGAAACCAACTGCAAGTATCAACAGCATATGACCGCTGGGAAACATGATGCATTAATTGAATTTCTTTATCATCTCCACCTGTTTTATTATTTTTAAGACTTTTTTTACAGGCCCTTCCTGTAAGCGCACAACTAAATGGCAATTGGAGGGAAAGTTATCCTTCTTGTAAAATTAGTTAAGCTCCTGTTCTAAACCCTTGGCCTATGGATGATTCACACTCTTGCAAATTATGAAGAGTAGATAGACCTTGAGGACATTCCTTCTTGCAAGGTTATTTCTTCTTGCAAGTCATAACTAGGCCCAACCAATACTGTTGTACACCAGGGGTACCACTTTTGATCTTATATTTCTTGTTTTACCTTGAAAAGGAATTGTCTCAATGTCAATGACAACCTCATTACAATTAATGGAATTGATGCCCACGCCACCATAACTGCAGCATATTTTTACTTATAAACAGTTCTCTTTGTCATAATTTTAGGATTTATTTCAGTTAAAATTCTGGTTCAAATTTCCTGTCTTATTTGGAGTAGGATTACAATGGAGGGCAGACGTTATAAGTACATTGTAATCTCTCTCGCCCAACATCATATACTCAATACAATTATTTAGAGAATTTTTGTCAAAAACTTAGATTTTGTGATGAAATAAACTCTTGCATATGTTATCTAAGAACCTCTAGGCATGATATTTTGAAAATGGGTTAGGTTGGTTGAACTTGAAAATTACTCCATTGTAATTGAGTAAGTAAACATTTGAATTGCACATTTGGTTGGATGGTAAGAACCCAAGTACTCTCTTTCGGATCCAAGAAACAGCTCTCAGAGAGAAATAAGCTCTTGCATCTGTTATCTAAGAATCTCTAGATATGATATCTAGATTTAACTCCTAATTTCCAAGTCAGCAGATTAACCTAATTTGCTAAGTCAGGAACATCCTAAATTCCATGTACTTCACACATATGCAGCATGATGAACAGTTATCGTAACTTTAAACAAATCCAAAAAAGCATCATCTAAACATGCAAATACTTTCATATATAATGCAATTTAAATATGGTTCAAGAAGATGAGTAACAAACAAATGGGATAGCTACCTTTGTCCCTAAATCTGTCAAGGCTATCGCCATATTATTTTTTGCAATCTCGAAATTCGGAGAAACGGCTAGACACCTTATATAGCAGAATAAAAAAGAGAGCATTAGAGAAGGCTAAGCCACTCTTAAAACAAACAATTAAAGCAAAGCACAGCAAGCAGTGTCATCAGAAAACTGCCAAATAACCTCTCATAACAGGCAATTGCTGACTCTAAGTCACCACGGTTTTTATAGATGACGCCCATGTTACAATATGCTTCAGCATACATAGGCCTCTCCAGTGCAGCCTTCTCATAGCAACTAAGGGCCATATCATATTGCATCATCTCAGAGTATACAACTCCGAGGTTATAATATGCAGGCTGCATAGACAAATAGTAAATCGTTATGATAAAGCACAAACAGCGAAGCTAAAGGAATAAGACATGAGAAAATGGAAATAAAACATGAATTACAGCATAATGCGGATCAATTTTAAGAGCTTCATGATACTTCTGAATTCCCTCCTGAGTATTGCCAGCAAGCTTTAAACTAGTTCCAAGATCTGTCAAAACAATTGCAAGGCATTCTGCAGCTGGTTTGTATGAAGCATCAGCTCTCAGAGCCTTCTGATATGACTGCTCCAAGTACATAATCGAGTAAAATTAAGTTATTCAAGCAGCTATACAAAAAATAAAGTAAAAAGTGTATACAATATGTGCTAATGCTTTCTTGAACACAACTTAGATCACAGAGTTGAGTCAGATCAGTGAATCAGAATCATATCGATAACATAACAACTTCCTGGATGATGAAAACCCATTTTTCAGAAAGTTCTGGCAGTGATTCAAATAGTATGAATACGTTGCACCAAGAGGTGATTAACACATTCTCAACAATTCCAACACTAATCTTTAGTGGAATTCAAATACCATAAACATCACACTTTGAATAAGTAAAAAGCCGCCAGGGGTAGGGAGAAATATGTCATGTAGAAGAGACTAGCCTATGTTTTCACATGTTTCACCAGATCAAGACTAATTCTACTCCTTATATCGTGACATTACATAGGTACACTTAAACCAAGTTAGACAGGACCTCTGGCAAGTGAACATGGCACAATGATGCAGTAATGCAGACATCGAATTATCAGGACATGGCATCATTCATCTTTCATGGCATAAGAATGACTTGCTTTTTCCTTGAATACTGAATAACACGGTTTAGATAGGTTAACATACCTCGGCAGCCTCTACCAGCCGGCCCTCATCTTTGTACAATATACCACAATGTGTTAGGGCACATGCATTCTGTGGGTCCAACCTGATGGCTTCTGCAAAACTAACAAAAGCAAGCCTTCCCATGTTTTGCATCTGCAAGCATATCCCTTTGCCAATGTAAGCTTCAACATTTCCCCTATCTTTCTCCAGCACACTCTCATAGAGTGCAAGAGCATCAACAAACTTGTTCCTTGATCGGAGAATATTAGCATAAGAGATAGCATCTTTCCCTTCAAACTCCTTGTGAACAGAAGCCACATTAGCTGAAGGAACACTTGTACTTTGAGAAGAACTTGCTCCATTTATGAAACCATTATCTCCAACTGAGTCATTTTCTCTCCCATTAACATCTTTATCCGTCCAGACCATGTTGGTTTAGTTAAGACCTCTCTCTTCTGAACTAGAATCATCGCGAAAACATAATTACAATGAAAAATCCACACAGTTCAATTCAAGTAATATTTTATTTTTTTGCATCCCAAACAAATAATTTTAATCTAGCAAACAACAAAATAAATAACAATTGAAGTTGATGAAAGAAATGTTTGACTGGGTGCCTCAGCTACAAGGTTCTAGGTACACCACTTGTGAGATTACTTCTGCCAATAACATATGTTCGCTAGAAATTTCATTTTTGTTCTTTAAAGACACTTTCCTCTCCTACTCGATAGTGAACAAAAAAATTCTTTGATATTCCTCAGCCACAGATTACTCAACTATAGTTGAGCAACAGGATCACCTAACTGTGCCAAACGGAACAACCAGAAAAACAGAAACTAAGCACGGCCTAGTTAAAAGTCATCGTTTTGAACTATTGAACTACCTCAAATGAAACTGCTTGAAACTCTAATCAAACTACAACACTGATTAGACTATCTAACAAAAAGCCCTAAAATGGAAACAAACTAAACACTCCCTCATTAGAAACCCACTAAACCTCCAGAAATGAATCCAGGGCATCAAAAAATGAGGTTTCTTCAAGTATGCCTAACAGAATCCACCCCAAGTCCCCCAACCAGCTTACCATACACGCCTCAGTTAAAATTAGAAAGGAGGAATTAGCAGGAGAAGAAAATACTGTGGAGAATTACGAAAATTAGGGATTTGAAGCTTACAAACTAAAAAGCGAAAAGCACAAACAACACTAGAATAGCACTATCGCATGTCGTCAGCAGAGCCCATGCCAGGGAGGCAGAGACTTTAGCCCGATAAAGAGGGATAACCTAAAAGGAAAAAGGAAGAAGACAAGTAGCGCATGATAAGGGGCCGAGTGGGTGTAGGTTAAAGAAACCCCGCTCACTCCCTCCTCCAAATGAGAGTTTTAGAGAGAGTGAGGGTTTAAATGGGAGTGTTGTTGGAGCCGGAGCCGGAGCAGCAGCAGTCACGGTCTCTTCTCTCCGACAGAGCAGGGTTCGATGTGTTCCAAACCCGGAGAAGGCCTCTGGTGTCCGTCCGTTAATTACAACTTGTGCTTTGCATTTTTGAGACAACATTTGCCCCTTAACCTCCATTTTTTCACTCTTTTGCCATCCTTATGAATTTGAGTTTATTTTTTAATTTAAATTAAAATTAACTAATTTGGTAATTACCTGTTAATAATTTAAATTAACTGAAAATCAAGTTACAACATTCCGTGTGATTCTGGTGTCGATCAAAAATTTGCATTGACTCCTCTAAAACATCTTTTTCCGGCCAAACTCCGTGAACGGGCAATCATGATCATAATTCGTAAAATCAATCAACACTGTGATGATCAATCATCGTCGACCAAGATGGTCCCACTTCTTGAATCAGTGGGTCCCACGCATCTGTACATGCCATGCCCGACAAAATAAACAAAGCTACAAAATTTCTCATTTCACTAAAATCACTCACCAACAATATTTTTTAAAAAAATTTGGAGTTGAAATCTCAAATGTAAAAATTATCATATTATAGACATTATAAAATAATGTTGATTAATTTATAATATAAAAATTTAATTTACCAATATATTAGTACGAACATAATAACTAAATTAAATTAAATTTTAAAGAGTATATTATATTTTTAAACAAAAATATTAAGAATAAAAATTGTCATAATTTAAATATATAATAGATTAATTACAATTGATTTAAAATACTTAATTTAGTACGTAGATAGTTTAATTCATAAGTATGTTTATAATATTATAATTGTAATATCCGATATTTATTTATTTTTTTATAAATATAATTATTTATTAATTGAATTTATTTTATTTTATTTTATTTTAATTTGATTTAATGAAATAATAATAATAATAAAGGAGAAAAATTAGTTAAAATTTTAATTGAAAATAATTTTAGGAAAAATATGTGGAAATTTGGATTTTGGAAATATTTTTTTTAAAAAAATCAGATACCGGGGGTCAAAATGTAATTTAAAAAAGTTACGCCATGTCAGATGCTCGGTCAGCAGCCCCGACCAATCATGACGCGCCAGGTGGCAGAGGTGCTGACGCGAGAGGCCACGCGGGCGATCAAACGACTGAGATCCGTTCCCGCACGTACAGATAGCTCATATTGAAAACGCGCACGGACGGCCCAGATTGCATTGCACACGGACGATCCAGATTGAATCGCACACGGACGGCCCAGATTGAATCGCGATGAATGGTTCAGATTCACTCTTTATTTAATCGCGATCGGACGGTCCATATTAAAATCGATGGACGGTTTAGATCAAAAGTGGATAGGTATAAATAACCTCATCTGCACCCAAACCCTAGTCGCTATAGCCCTTCGCCAGAGAAGACAACCCAGCCGCTGGGGAGCTGACCATCGCCACCTGCCGCCGCACCGCAGTAATTTCCGACCACAAAACGAGGTAAAAAAAATTTCTCTTGCACGAAATTCAATTTTAAACCCACTTATGGCCAAATTGGAGTGAAAGAACCAGCTGATTGGCCGAAAAATGCCGCCGAAGCTCGATGTCGCTGCCACGAGATGTTTTAGAAAACGCCTCCAATAAGGCCCTTCCCGATTCCCGTTCGATGTGATTTTTCCACCGTTATGATCACTATTTCCTTCTCTACAAGTTGACTAGAGCAAAATACCCAACCGCAACGTGAGCCAGAGGAGCCGTCGCACCGGAGAGCCCCACCGCCAGTAAGTTTCGATTTTCTACGTTTTTTAGACCAACCGAGGGTACTAGGTGTGTTTTCTCGCATAAACCGATGCAAGTTTGGCTGAATTCAGTTGAAAACAGCCAAAAATAGCCAACCCGATGCGGGTTGCCGCCGCGGACGGCGGCATCGACGCCGGAGCACGGCGGAGCCGCCGTGCCGGACTTTCGAAATTGGCTGAGTAGGCCCTGCGATTGATTTTTGGGTTTATTTAGGACATTTGTAGGTACTGTAAGCGCGTTTCAATTTCCGATGAAAAATTTAGGGAACCCGGAGACCGCCCGTAAGCGCAGTAACCATTTAGTTTTCGGTGTCGAATCAGGTAAGGACCCATCGCCCTATTTCTTATCATATATGTGAAGTTTGAATAAATAATAATACGGTCTTTTATACAAGTTAGATAAATATGCATAATTAATTACGGATTGTTAATGGAGCCCGAAATCAAATATTATTTTCTGTTGATTTATTTTACAGTTTAAAGGTATTATGGTATTTGGTTTAGGATTTTAAATGCATGTATTACTATCTTACTTGACCACTGTGTGATTTTGGAATTTAAGATATGATTGTATTACCGAGTGCATGTTCATTGTTTATGTGATTATGTTTAATTTGATAACAGAGAT